AGGGAAGGGAGACCATCCCCCCCAGCGCTCGTGAGCCACTGGTGAAGCACGTAGAATCTGCGAGCCGGAAGGCAGCGCGTCCCGGACTGGTCGGGGCCCCGCCCTCCAGCGGGGAAAGAGCAAGTTTCCTCTTCTCCGCATGGCCTGTCTCAGGGATGCTTCGCGGGCCGTTTACCGGACTTAACGGCGCCCTGGGCAGGGGGGCTGCCTGCTTTTGAGGTGTACGCCGCGCCTGCTTGGCCGGAGGCGCAGGCGGGGGCGGGGAAGCCCTCGTTGGCGGGCGCCCTCGGCGAGGAGCAGTGAAAGTGGATGGCTCGGCGGGCAGAGCGGGCTTATGGCTGCGCCGATAGATGACATTGCCCATCGCATCCGACTGCTCTTTCACCGCCTTGAATTCCGGGGTGAATTCACCGACGGTGTCGCCGACGGTGTCACCGGCCAGGTTTAGCCAGAGGTGGCGTTCCTGAACCACAAGTGTGGACATCATCCTCCCCAGCACACACGCGGCGGACTTACGAGTCCGAAGAGCATAGTCGGTCGCGGTGCGCAGCTCTTGTAGTAAGCCTGGGTTAGACCTGCCCTCGTGCAGCTCGGCCAGCGCGTGCAAAGCAGAAGCAGCCTGGCCTGCAGCCTTATAAGCTCTGGCTCCGGGGGAGGCAGACAACCTACAGGCTTTGGACGGGAGGCGGGGCAAACCTCGCCACGTAGAGGCGCCACGCGGACAAAGATTGACCGCGATAGCGTGCTCCACTGGCGGGATCGCCTCATACCCCCTGGCAGCTCCGCCGTTGAGGGCGGAGGGACACGCAACACGGGCAGAGAAAGGTGCCCTCCAAGAGTGCGTGAGCCTACTCTGCACTTCCGGGAAGAAGGGGACAAGAGGCTTTGAAGGCTTCGCCTTCTGGTCCTCTCTGTAGCACCCATCTAGTCGGTCCGGCCGCGGAGCTGAGGGATGAACCAGCTCCAACCCCACGACCGAAGCAGCCCGGGAAAGCACAGCTAACATGTCCGCTTCAGGATCCGATTTGACGGCGCTCACCAGCCCGGAGGGGGCGAGCGGGTCCGGATCTTCATCGGACAGTGAAAGCCCACCCTCCGATGCCGTGGAGGACATCTAATCTCCGGTGTCAGCGAGCGTGAGAGCTACCATCTGGTTAGACGGATCACTCCCACTGCCCGAAGCTTGGATGGAGCGATGTGAGGAGCAAGAAGTCCGCGAGCCCTTGGGCGGCGGATTATCTCCCGCTGGGACCCTCAGATCTGCCCGAGCGCCCGCTGCTTTTTTAGAACAGGAGGCAACTGGGGTGGCTCACTCTCTTACGAAAGTTAGCCGCGATCTTAGCTGTGCAACGGTCATGGCATCGCAATGACGACATGAACCGCCCGCGAGCACCGCATTAACATGCTGTACCCCCAAACATGCAACGCAGTGATCGTGTCCATCATCCGGAGCCAGGAAACCCACGCATCCAGAAACGCACAGTCGGAGCGACAACCTGAAAAGTGCTGCACGACTGTGTAGCTCTTTTAGGAAAGCTTAGCAACATTACGCACCGCACTGGAGGACCGGACCCAAAGAACCACAGGCAAGGGAGAAACCCAGCTCGACCATCTGCCGCCGCGAAAACCCACTCTGGACCGGGAGACACTCGTTCGCTCTGAAATGCTGATTTAGCAAGAGGAACCCTCATTGACTCACTCAGAAAGGATCTGAAGCGAAAAGGATGGCGTTTGCTCGTTCCAGGTGTGCTTATATGCTGGGATAATTGGCAATGCAGCACACCTGCGCAAGCTTATGCTGCCAATTCATTTCATTCATTGGCCCGTTCAATACTCTTCAGACAAGCGGCTTCTGATCCGAAACCTCCCATACGTGGATTTTCACAAAGATCAAATCCACTTATAGCACTGGAGTTCCCCAACCGAAGGGGAACCAGCATTTACTATTCATAGTTAAACATTTACTTATGCAGTATTAAAATCCCAATTCATGCTTGTTAACATTAGTTAATAGTAATACACCATGAGATATCATGAATGAACAATGAACAAGTTTATTATCATTAACAAATGTTAACTAACATGAATAAATATTGTACAATATGTATTGTTCAATGTTCGTTAATGTTATTAAATGTATTAACTAACAATACCTAATACAATCTTACTGTAAAGTGTCCAAATAACTTGTTCTCCATGCCAACAGGTAAAAAAGAATAATAATCTTCTCTTAAAAATGACAACAGTAAAATCGTTGACATAATATCAATAGTTTCAATTACATCATTGTTTTCTATTAACACTACATCAAAAATGACTGTATTATTGCAACACAGGCTCATTGTAATTAGGTGCCGAGGGCTAAATTGTGTGTCTCAGCACATGTTTGCCTAAATTTTATGGGTGAAATGAATGCTGAAGACGATATGACTCTGCCAAGTTTTGTTTCTTTTCAAACTACAGTGCGAACAAGAATGACTGTTATCTGTAATCGGCTTAACCTGTGTGGTTAGTTTGCTTGGTAGCTCGCCTTGTTGTAGGGTGTGCTACTTGGAACACGGAGTGGACTGAGTATGGCCCAATCCCAATTCTACCCCTAAGCCCTTCCCCTTACCCCTACCCCTCGTTTTGCCCATGCACGCCAAGGGGTAGGGGTGTCCCAATTCTCTTTAGCTTGAAGTCGTAGGGCTAAGGCCCCATTTACACTAATGCGTTTTTGTTTTAAAACACATAAGTTTTGCTACAGTTACGCCATCCGTCCACACTACGCCCGAGTTTTCAAGCGACAAAAACGAAGCGTTTCGAAAATACTGAAGAGGCCGTTTTCATTCTAAAACGCTGCTGCTCTGTCTCAGTGTGGATGGGGAAAAATAGAGACATCTGAAAACGGAGGCGGGGCTGCAGACATTCGCCTGTCTGATTGGGGCTTTTCCTCAATATTAAGTAGCCTACAAACACAGTTCAGTCTCATATCCTCTCCCTGTAAGTTCAGACTTCGCAAGTTTGATATGGACATGTCCGGTAGATCTTCAAAGGGAACAGTGTACTTTATAACCTTATTCACATCATCCTGGCTACGTTGTTTTACTTTCTCATCAATAAAATGAAAACATGATTTAAGGAACTGCCTATTTTCATTTTGATATTAACAACTTAACAGACAGCAGAAATGCTGAGGCGTCGTGCTGCATCTTCACTGTGGGCATATTTATAATAAAACAGAACCTATATAACATCACTGCCTCCTTTCATTTTCATTGAAAATACGAAACGTATCCTCTGCTTTGCTGAATGTCAGATTCAATAAGTAATAATTGATATTATGAAAGTATAACACACAATAAGTTTATAAATTATAGGAAATGAAGGCAAGCGATCAGTCAATATACAGCATGTATGTGGTTACATTAATTATTAACTTATCTTTGAGCTCAGCCAAAACATGTTCCCTGTGAACACGTATTCGATTTAAAAGACCAAAGTCAGGGAATATTTTGTTAGATAAAGACAACAAGATTAACTAAATATCACGTTTAGCAAATATAGTGAGATTAAATCCAGCGGGAGATGCTTGATGAGAAAGGGGTGAATAGCCCAGATTTTTCAGGGCCACACTTGAAACCAAGGGGTAAGAAAATTTACTAGAATACACCTGCCACAACGGCAGTATTGCTGAACCCGGAAGTAAGAAGATCCACAAATTAGTATTTTTTTGTCAGTATTATGAATTTTTACGACAAACAAACACATGTTTTAAGATATTCATAACCGCGTTTGTGTTTTACCGTCATGTTTAAAAAAAAAAAAACACAAAAAAAACCCAGCTAAATTCCGCGATCTATAATCTGTATTAATAACTCCTGTACATTAGTCCCACAAAATTTTACATTTTGAAGCCCTTCCCCTTAACCCTGAGTTGTAAGGGCCAAGGGGAAGGGGAAGGGGAAGGGGCAGGGGTACAAAAATAGAATTTGGATTGGGTCTTTGAGTCCAGCAAAGGATGGGTCCAAAACACAGGTAAAAATAAAAAAGCAATGTGAAATCGTGGTAAATATATGTGACTGTGATGTACGTTTCTCTACTTATTTGCTTTTAAAAACACTGCCAATTGGGTTTAAGGAAGGGAGTGTGAGGGTCAGTCTATTTTAATGATATATTTTATGCAAGACAAGCAGGCCAGCTTTGCATGAAACAGCACTAGAATGATGTATAAATGGCATGTATAAGGAAAAAGTAGCCCAGTCATTTATTAGAGATTCTCAAAAATGTACACAGCAGCCTCTGGTGGATTTTTAAACAAAAGCTAAAAGCAGACGTAGCTGAAGCCATGCAATAAACGATTCTCAAAAACATCGCCCTAAGAAGATATTTCAAACAAGCCTTGGTTAATATTGTCATTTTATTGGCGTTGGAGTGATCCTGAAATTCTTAGGGCAAACAATTGGGTCACACAAATATTGCTTATATTTAAGTGTTATATAAAGGTTCATCCCACTGACCAACGGGAATTACTTGGTGTGAAAATAACTTCTGTACAAGTTGTTCCTTTTACCTCTAAACAGCATTTAAAATGGATAATAGACCTTGAAATGTAGCTGAAAATTCTCTAATGTGTAAAACAATATCTCCTATAAACATGTAGTGCTGTACTTCATCCATATGCAAGCTCCCTTTCCTGCCAGAAGCTCTGGTTCTGGCACAGGAGGCCTGCGGTTTGACTTTTTACCCCACCCAACCCCTGATGGGCCGAAGGTGCAGAGTCGTCCTCTCAGATCACTTTCTGACAGAGGAAGCTCTCAGTTGCACTGTTTCTATTTCCTCTATCACAGCAGTTGGTTTCAGACTGACCTCTCCCACATGTCATCACCTAAAATAACATATTCACTATCCTCCTGTGGGTGGATCATGTCTGTTAGATCCCCGCGTTTGGTGTTTTACAGGGATTGTACTTGCAGACAACCTCCCAAAACATCTATTCAAAGACAGATATAGAAACTCACTCTGGATCTGAAGGGCACCAGAAGGCAGTTGAGAGGTGCCAACATGGCCAGACGACTTGCCAAAAATGGGACGTCCATCCTGGCGTCTCCATATCAGAGATGGTGTGGGAAAACCACGAGCGATGCATGGCAGAGTGATGTTATCACCCACACTAGCTGTTATGTCCACGGGAGACTCAGAAAACGTAGGAGCAGCTGAAAAAATAAAGGCATCAAAAATGTAACATGAAATGAATGAATACATTATGATATTTTTGTATATATATTTGCAATGTATTGTTTGTATTGGACTGTGAAATCTCTCAAATTTGTCTAATCCCAACATATTTTACCCACACACATTATATGTGGGATAGTAATTATGATTTAAATCTGGTCCTGTTTATGCATTAAGGCTGATCTATACTTCTGCATTGAGTGATCGGTGTGACCCCCTTTAATACTTCTGCATGCTGTTTGTGTTGCTCTGCAATAACACTTCCGAAATGCTAGCCGGCAGTAGGCTTTTTTGTTCCTCTGTGCAGTGTTTCTTTGCAAGTGTTTTGTTTTTTTCTGAATGCTACCTTAATGTACAAGTAGTTAAACTCGCTCATTCAGAGGTGAGAACCAGCGGACGTGCAACAACTTTAGTCATAAGGTAAACACATAACAACAGTTTCCATCTAAAGCCACTTCATGGGATTCGACAGTTGTAAACACTCGCTCCAACGGCTCCACGTGGCTCTTGGTCCCGCCCACACTGATCACAGCTACCAAGCCGACCAATCACAGAACTTGCTCTATGCGTTGTTGCGACATCTAATTACCAATAACTGTAAAAAAAAATAGGTTGTTATATTTTTTGAAAGGTCGCTATGCGACTCCACCAAGGCTGCGCCGGAGCATATGCGTGCGCTTAATGCAGAAGTATAAATTAGCCTTTAACTGTAACCTTTTTGCATAATAATGCAGGAAACAATCCTTAACTACAAACAAACTTTTATGTTGGCTTGAGAAACCCTAGCCTAAAAGAGTTTAAACAGTCAAAAGGCTTGCTTTAACATGTTGCAAGTATGTTTATTTCAAGAGTTAAACATCGTTAACGTGTATGTAGTTGTCATGTTTTTAATAAATACATGCATATTAAAAATATAACTTTTTGAGGCGTTTGGGGGGGTGGGATCCCCGGATTGCAAATCCGGGAGTTTTCCGGGAGACAGAACAAAACAGGAGATAGGTCTAAAATACGGGAGACTCCCGGGAAAAAGGGATTGTGTAGTTCCATTTTTTGAAGGGTGTTTGGCGACAGCCATGGCGAGGGCTGTGAAACTGCATAAAGGCTGTTCCAGAGAATATGTGTGCGCCTAACACAGAAGTATAAATCAGCCTTACGACATACGCTGGATAAGTTGCCGGTTCATTCCGCGGTGGCAGCCCTGATGGATAAAGGGACTAAGCCGAAGAAAAGTATATGATTGAATGGTTTATCACATGTTGCCAAAACGGTGTCAGTCATTGCTATCACATTTTAACATGGTGCTAACATGTTTTCACTCATTATTACATTGCCACCATGTATCAGTGCATTTTTAGCATGTTTTAGAACATTGCTAATATGTACTGTATCATAGTGCTAGCATTTAAACACATGGCTAACTAAGTTGAATGTTTAACCTAAAACTGCTAAAGTGAATTAGACACGTTTAGAAATTTGGTCAAAGAATAAGAAAAAGAAACTTAAATTAGAAAGTAGATCAGTGTGCTGACGTAGTAATGAGAATAGCTTTTTATTTACATTAGGATTTTCTAGAGACAAATTACATGAATGTGCTGCAGCATAGTGAAAGACGATGTATTAAAATAGAAAATGTTCCCTTGTAGAAAATTCTTGTAGAAAAATAGGGATAATTTAAAACAGAAAAGCAATATTTATTACAATCATTATTTTTCTAAGTACATACAGTGAGCCATAAATTACACAGTTAAGGCAGGTTCTATACAACATTATGATCTGTTTCTGGATTGTTTAAGTTTTCTCGTAAACTGGCCATGAGCTACCGGGAGTCTGAGAATGCTGTCAGGGCCTGTTAAAAAATCACTTTAAAGACACAGTTCCAAATATCAAGTTGAAACCAAGTTTGCTCTCCAAATTTCACACGTTACAACAGAGAGGGGGAACATTTCCACTTTGTGGTTTGGAAGCCCATGGGCTTATGGGCGTGTATTGCTAAAAATCAGTTCCTTCCAAGCTTTTTGATTCATGCTATGAACTACATGTTCCTCAAAGTTTTGGAAAAGCAATAGAAATACTGCGACAGTGAGCTCAATAAATAAAAGCCCACATAAAATGAAACTACGCTGCATTAAATGTACTTTAATGTTTATATTGTAAAGCAGCAGAGGTCTTGTTCTCACCTCCCACCTGTAGTACGACCACAGCAGACGAGGAGCCGGCAATGTTTGAGGCCACACAGGTATAATCGCCAGAATCCAGTTCCTGAACCCCACGGATCTGTAGTGTCCCGCGATGGACATCCTGCTCGGCGAATGGAGCTGTTCCCAGATCCAGATCCCCTGATGACGGATGGTGCAAGAACCAAAGAAAACATACGCTGTTGCCTTAACAACCCATTACACATCATCCAATATCCTAAACAGTCTCTAAAACCCGAGGAATTAATAATAGTTTCTGAAGAATGAAGAAATAGTAACATGTCAAATCTGATTATGCAGATATATCTTTAATACATCTGATTTGGTTAATGCTAGTTCTGTTTTACCCATTTCAGCAATTTGCATGGTTTCATTATTTTGTTAGCAATTTGTCCGTTTAGTAACAAAGAACTAAATAGAATTAATAAATATGACAAAAAGACAAGGTGTCTGAAAGGGCCAAGTATTAATCTCTATTAGCAGTATTTACCTTTTTGCCATTTAACGATTGGAGAAGGAGTGCCAGAGGCTTGACATTCTAGACTGGCATCTTCGCCAGCAACAACCATTACCATCTGCTGGACCACCGAGATGCTTGGAGGTTCTGAGACAATTACAAGAGAGAAAGAAATTAAAGCTAAGTGTTGAAGTTGCTGTGTGGGATTTATTCTTGTTTTCATTTTTAACTGTTTACATTACTTTGGGGTCAGTATGATTTTTAAATGTTCTAAAAGAAGTTTATCCTGCTCACCAAAGCTGAATTTATTTAATCAAAAGTACAGTATGAAATGTAAAATAGCAAAATGTTATTGCACTATAAAATAACTGTTCAAAAGTAGTTTATATTTTCGTTTAATTATTTATTCCAGTGATTTTAAAGATGAATTTTCAGCTTCATTACTTCAGTCTTCAGTCACATAATCCTTCAGAAATCACTTACATTCATTATTACCTTTATTTAAAGGTGCCTTTCAAAGCACTCAAGGGCACCTTACATCATATAGCAAGCACATCATAAAAAAATAAGCAGTAAAAATAACATAATATTAAACCAGCAAATAATTAAAAGCTGTCCTAAACAAAAACGATTTTATCTGAGATTTAAAATTGGAAATAGTCCACCTGTTGAATCTGCAAAGGCAGGGAGTTCCATTTAAAGATGAATTTTTAGCTTTATTATTCCAGTCTTTAGAGTCACACAATCCATTAGAAATCATTCTAATATTAATAATAATAATAATTATTATTATTAATACTAGTATTATTACTAATGTAATAACAATAAAAGCAGTAATGACTAGAGTAATAATTTTATTTAAAACTAGATACAATAAGAAAGCAGTCATTTAATATTGTAATAAATATAAGTTTTTTTTTTTTAATTTTTCATTTAATATATGCTGCCTTGATGAACAAAAAAATAAATGAACATGAAAAAAACTGACCCCAAGCCTTTGACCAGTAGTGTAGTTGTTGTTTTTTTAGTTACCATACATTACTCTATTGCCTCGCAATACTCATTGCATTGCAATACACATACTCATTGCATTGCAATACATTGAATTATGTGTTCCCCTTCAGTTGGGGAACTCCAATGCTATAGGTGGATTTGATCTAGAAAATCCACGTATGGGAGGATTTGGTTCAGAAGCAGCTTGTCTGAAAGAGTATTGAACGGTCAAATGAATTGGCAGCGTAAGCTTGCGCAGGTGTGCTTCATTGCCAATTATCCCAGCATATAAGCACACCTGGAGCGAGCAAACGCCATCCTTTTTGCTTCAGAGACTTTCTGATCGAGTCGATGAGGGTTCCTCCTGCTGTGATCCAGCGATGCCGAGCGAACGAGAGCATTCTCCCGGTCCAGAGTGTGTACACGCAGCGGCAGACGGTCGAGCTGGGTTTTCTCCCTTGCCTGGCGTTCTTTGGGTCCGGTCCTCCAGAGCGGTGTGTATAAAGTTGCAACTTACACAAAGAGAGCTACACAGTCGTGCAGCACGTCCTTTTCAGGACGACGCTCCGACTGTGCGTTTCTGGATGCGGTGGTTTTCTGTCCTCGGATGATGGGCACGGGCATTGCGTTACATGCTCCAGCATGTTAATGCGCTGCTTGCGGGCAGTTTATGTCGTCATTGCGATGCCATGACTGTTGGCATTAAAGATCGCGGCTAGCCTTTGCAAAAGGGCAAACCACCCCAGTTGTCCCCTGCTCTGCAGCGGGCACTCGGGCAGATCTGAGGGTTTCAGCGAGAGATAATCCGTCGCCCACGTGCCCATGGACCTCTCGCTCCTCCAAGCGCTCCATCCAAGCTTCAGGCGGGGAAATCGATCCGTCTAACAGATGGTAGCCCTTACGCCCGATGACACCGGATACCAGACGTCCACCGCGGCATCGGAGGGTGGGCTTTCATTGTCCGATGATGATACAGACCCGCTTGCCCCCTCCGGGCAGGTGAGCGCTGTCAAAACGGATCCTGAAATGGACATGTTAGCTGTGCTTTCCCAGGCTGCTTCTAGAGGGGCGTCCTCTACTTCCCGGAGGTGCACAGTAGCCTCACGCGGTCACTTTTTTCTGCTCGTGCTGTGTGTCCCTCCACCCTCACCACTCTTGATGGTGGAACGGCCAGGGGGTATGTGGCGATTTCTCAGGTTGAGTGCGCGATGGCTGTCAATCCACACGGCGCCTCTTCTTGGCGGGGTCCGCCTTGTCTCCCATCCAAAGCCTGTAAGTTATCTGCTTCCCTCGGAGCTAGAGCTTACAAGGCTGCGGGCCAGGCTGCTTCCGCCTTGCATGCGATAGCCAGCTACCAACGCTACGAAGCGCAGGCGCTTGCCAAGCTGCACGAGGGTGGGTCCAACCCAGGCTTATGAGCTTCGCACCGCAGCCGACTAAGCTCTTCGGACTACTAAGTATGCTGCGTATGTGTTGGGGAGGACGATGTCCACACTAGTGATCCAGGAGCGCCACCTCTGGCTGATATGGACGAAGTCGACAAAGTCCGCTTTTTTGACTTCCCCATATCCCAAGCTGGCATGTTCGGCGACACTGTCTGTGAAATCACCCAGGAATTCGAGGCGGTGAGAGAGCAGTCTGATGGGTGAGGTCACCGATGACCCCATTAGCGAGGGATCTGCCTGCCTGGTTAGCGTGGGCCAGCCCCTCGCTGTGGCTCATACGTACAATCAGACTCAGCTATGCGATTCAGTTTGCGAAACGGCCCCCCAAGTTCACAGGTTTCTGCGGTTTGCGTTCGAAGGTCGAGCGTGGCAATGCAAGGTTCCCCCTTTGGGCTCTCTCTGTCTCCGCGGGTATTCACCAAAATCGCGGAGGGTGCCGTTGTGCTCCTTAGGCCAGCGGACATCCGCATACTCAATTATCTCGACGACTGGCTGATTTTAGCCCACTCGCGGGAGCAATTGACTATGCACAGAGACAAGGTGCTCCGTCACCTCCACCTGTTGGGGCTGCAGGTCAACCGAGAAAACTCGGCCCGGTGCAGAGGATCTCTTTTCTCGGGATGGAGCTGGACTCGTTCACCATGGTAGCGCACCTCTCCGGAGAGCACGCTCGCCTGTTGCTGAACTGTCTGAGGGAGCTCGACAGCAATATAGTGGTCCCATTGAAATACTTTCAGAGGCTCCTGGGGCATATGGCATCTGCTCAGATTGCTCCATATGAGACCACTTCAGCACTGGCTTCAAGATCGAGTCCCAAGACGTGCATGGCATGCGGGCACACACCGAGTCTCTGTTACTGCGCTGTGTCACCGCACCCTCAGCCCTTAGAACGACCCCTCGTTCCTGCAGGCCAGTGTGCCTCTGGGACAGGCGTCCAGTCATGTTGTTGTCTCAACAGATGCTTCCAACATGGGCTGGGGAGCCGTGTGTCGCGGGCATGCAGCTGCGAGCCTATGGAAAGGTGCCCAGCTACATTGGCATATCAATCAACTAGAGCTGTTGACAGTGTTCCTCGCTCTCCACTGCTTTTTTCGGTGTTACAGCAGCAACACGTGCTGGTCAGGACGCACAGTACAGCGACGCCAGCGTATATCAACCGTATGCACTCTTGGCGCATGTCTCAGCTCGCCCGCCGTCTGCTCCTCTGGAGTCATCCGAGGCTTAAATCGCTGCGCGCCGTTCACATCCCAGGTATGCTCAACCGTGCAGCCGATATGCTCTCACGGCAGCAAATTCACTCTGGAGAATGGAGACTCCACCCCGAGTCTGTCCAGCTGATATGGGCGCGTTTCGGGCAGGCTCACTTTTGTGCAAGGTCAAGGAGGACGAGGAGCAGGTTCTGCTAGTTGCGCCTCTCTGGCCCAACCGGACCTGGATATCAGAGCTGTCCCTCCTCACGACGGCCCTCCCCCAGGCGGATCCCTTTGAGAGAGGACCTACTCTCTCAGGGACAGGGCACCATCGGGCACCCTCGCCCCGATGAATCATTCACTGAATGGTGTGTCTTTTGCAGAGAAGACCCCCAAACCTGCCAGATCAGTGTTGTGCTCTCTTTCCTTCAAGAGAAGCTGGAGAGCAGGCTGTCGCCCTCCACTCTCAAGGTTTACGTGGCTTCCATCTCTGCTTATCATGACGCGGTAGCTGGCGGCACCATGAGAAAGCACAACCTCATCATCCGGTTCCTCAGAGGCACTCGGCGAATTAATCCAACTCGCCCCCCTCTCATGCCCTTTTGGGATCTCGCCCTCGTTCTCACGAGCCTGCATACAGATCCCTTTGAGCCACTCGAATCAGTATCCTTAAGATTTCTGTCTTAGCCAGCTCTGCTGGTCGTGATGGCCTCTATTAAGAGGGTCGGGGACCTGGAGGCATTTTCGGTCAGTGACTTGTGCCTGGAACTCGGGCTGGATTTTTCTCACGTTATCCTGAGACCCCGCCCGGGTTATGTGCCCAAGGTTCCTACCACTCCTTTTAGAGACCAGGTAGTAACCCTGCAAGCGCTGGCCCCGGAGGAGGCAGACCAAGCCCTTTCCTTACTCTGTCCAGTTCGCGCTCTGCGCATCTATGTGGACTGTACTCAGTATTTGGATCATCTGAGCAGCTCTTTGTCTGTTATGGCGGTCGGCAGCAGGGAAGTGCTGTGACCAAACAAAGATTATCCCACTGGATTGTGGAGGCCATTTCATGTGCTTATTTGAGCAGAGGCGAGCCGTGTCCCCCGGGAGTGCGTGCCCACTCCACTCGGAGCGTTGCATCCTCTTGGGAGAATGCACGCGGCGCCTCTTTAACAGACATCTGTAGAGCTGTGGGCAGGGCGACACCCAACACATTTGCTAGGTTTTAGGTAACCCTTGGTGATTGAGGAAACAACTCGGTGGGGTGTTGTAACACGCTTGCTGTGCCGTTTTTCTCTAACACGGAGAGATGTGCACCTCCCTGTTTGTCAGTAAGTTCCCCGTCAGGTGAGCCCTGCAGATTCCTCCGTGGCCCCCAGCACTGACTCAGCGGAGGAGTCACTTGCTAGTACTTGTTGTAGGTCTGCCCGCTAGTCAGCCCACGTTATGGGTATAGGTGCCTGGTATGTGCGATCCCCACTAGGCGATCCCATATGCTTTTCGCCACGGTTCAATTCCCCCTCTTGGGTGGACCCGTGCCTTCCCTATCCGCTAACAACCTTCTTATGCGCTCTCCCCCTTCTTAGGGCTAGTCCATATGTAATTGCCATTGTCTCCCCCATTGGGTGCGGATGGTCTCCGCAGCGTACTCCCTACCAGGTTTGCACGCTTCCCAACGTACTGTCGTATTTCCTAGAATTATCTAGACGCTAGCGACTCCCAAAAAATATACCTATTCCGTAAAACTTCCCTTAAAGTGGGATAAGTTGGGGCCAAGGGCACGTTGAAGGACCGCGCCTTCCATGATTTGGGTACATCACGCTTGCTTGACTGCCCTCTCATCGGAGGCGTTGGTAAGGTGCAGTCATTATGGCGTTTTCCATTGTTCTCCCATACAGGGATTTTCTAGATCAAATCCACCTATAGCATTGGAGTTCCCCAACCGAAGGGGAACGTTCGAGGTTACAGAAGTAACCCTTGGAAATGCTATATTCCATCGCCATAATGACTGTCCCTTAGCTGTTAAAAGTCTCTTCAGTTTAATAGGATGGCGTTTGTTCGCTCCAGGTGTGCTTATATGCCGGGATAATTGGCAATGAAGCACACCTGCGCAAGCTTACGCTGTCAATTCATTGGCCCGTTCAATACTCTTTCAGACAAGTGGCTTCTGAACCGAATCCTCCCATACGTGGATTTTCTAGATCAAACCCACCTTTAGCATTTCCGTTCCCCTCCTCGGGGAACGAAGGGTTACTTCTGTAACCTCGAACGTTTCTTGATATGTTACAAATTTAATACTTGGAAAACTGACTACTACTAAAGCAAACAGAACAAACTGTAGGCATTATGAAAAATATTGTGCATAAAATAGCAGCTTTGTTGTCAAATTATCATATCATGTATCAAAATTAGGCAATCTGAACTAATCAAAAGTTTTAATTACATAGAAAAAGACATTACAATTTAACCTTTATTTTTCATTTTTAAAGGGACAGTTCACTCCAAAAATAAATAAAAATCTGTAATCATTTACACTTTCCTTCTTTTATCCCATCCTGTTTGGTTTTCTTTCTTCTGTTGAGCACAAAATAAGTTAATTTGATATATGTTGGAACCCTGTAGCCATTGACTGCCATCATACGTTTTTGATTATTTTATGGAAGTCAGTGGTTACTGGTTAATGACATTCTTCAACATATTTTCTTTTGTGTTCAACAAAAAAAAAGGAATCTCAAAAAAGTTTTTAAAAAGTGGATTGATAGATCAATAAAGGATTACAGAATTTTAATTTCTGGGTGAACTGTTCCTTTAAGCTTAGCCATTTGAATTAAGTGGAAAACCATTAAAACCATTCAACAGAAGCAGCTATAGAACATTTACTGCGTCTGCCGACACCTGGAATCTCATTTCTTTATAATGCATGCTGTCATGCAACTATAAAAGTTATTGTCAGTTATAAATTTGATCTATAACTCAAAATGACAGAGGACTGGTTTACAATGTACAAACATCCTCATCAAGTGACTCTGGTGCCCACCTGCATAATTGACGTTAACAGACTGAGAGGCAGTGCCAACCTCATTGGTGGCCAGACACGTATAGTTCCCAGAATCCTCAGGTGCAGCTCCTCTTATTGTCAGCATGCCAGACTCAGATATGCTCATCCTGAAAGCAGAGCCAGGCTTATATTAAAATATTAGTATTTTCTTCCCTCAAACTGACTTCTGACGGATCACAGGCCAGATTTATTCTGATGTCTTGACCAAAATTGAGACTATTAATGGTATGCGGATCACTTATTTAAACTGAAATTAAATATAAATGATCCGTTTTAGGAAAGTAGATAAAAATGACTTAATGTAGATGTGTAATGAGGGAAGGGAGAGGGAGATGGTTGACTACCGATGGTGGTTGGACAAAAAGATGTTGCCATGGCTCCAGAAAACCTTTGGAGGAGGAGATCCAGATGCCGAGCAGGAGATGTGTACCTCTGCACCCAGAGAGAAGCTCTGTGTCTGCGGGGAGACAACCACAGATGGGGCCTCTGTAAAGGAAACGAATATAAACTGTGAATCATCCTACACTTAAAGGAATGGTTTAACCAAAAATGAACATTTTGCCATTATATACCCAACCACATGTTGCTCCAAACCCATATGCTTTTGTTTAATTTTTCATGGGACAAAAATAGGATCTTAAAAAAGGGTCTGTACACAAAGCTTTTTCAAACTTTAACTGATTTAAAACCAAATGTAAATTGCATGACAGAATGCAGAGCTGAAAACAGAATGCAGATGAATTTCAATAAAATGAAATTAGCTGTAATTTGTAACTAGAAAAAAAAATAAAAAAAAATAAAAGTAACTTAAAGGGCTCAAGTTCATAAACAGATGAAACATAAAATAAAAGTCGAAAATACAGACAGACAGACAGACAGACAGACAGACAGACAGACAGACAGACAGACAGACAGACAGACAGACAGATAGATAGATAGATAGATAGACAGACAGACAGACAGACAGACAGACAGACAGACAGACAGACAGACAGACAGACAGATGATAGATAGATAGATAGATAGATAGATAGATAGATAGATAGATAGATAGATAGATAGATAGATAGATAGATAGATAGATAGATAGATAGATAGATAGATAGATAGATAGATAGATAGATAGATAGATAGATAGATAGATAGATAGATAGATAGATACGGACGGGTCTCTACTATTACTTGGCACAAAGCCTCTGAGACTGCAGACATGGGAAATGGATAATGAGGAGTGCACACACTATAATGGTATAATAAAGGTGGCAGTCTGACAGCACAAGCTCACAGTGAGATACACTTCATCGATTTGCTCGGCTATTTGTCTCCAAACGGAGCCGCCAATCTAGAATCACATTAATCTTGCTGATTCGAAACATGCAGGGCTCAATCTTGCTGGCTGAGTGGAGCTCGTGCTGTGGTTTGGAGGGTGGTAATGGAAAACACATGACGGTGGGGCTCATGAGGCCGCAGGAGCTGAGTGTTTGACCAGGTGCTGCGCGATACCTAGGACCACCAGCCAGACGACAGCCTGACTCTCTCCATGGGCGTTTGAGGCTCTGCACTGGTACGGCCCGGCATCCTGGCTGCGAACCCAGCTGATCTCCAGAGAGGAATTGGCTAGTACTCTGACCCTTCCTGAGCGGGATGGTAAAGCGCTGCCTGTCCGGTACCAGGTCAGATTGTGGCGCACAGAGCCTTGAATCTGGCAGGACAGCACTGCCACTGTACCTGGGGATGAGGTCACATTCACAGGAGGACGCAGGACAGGAGGAGGCTCTGAAATTAAGTGAAATTATGATTACAGTCTTCAACACTAAAACGGCCAAGGATGAAATGAATTTAAATATTTAGTTATTAACAACTCACTATTATTAAAAATAGTTTATACATAAAGGCATTTATACCTCTCTACAGTAAATATTATACAGTAACAGAGCCATAGTCAGTGTTGTAACACGTAAAAAAATAATGCATCAGAATAATGTATTACTTTTTGATGTGACACAGTTATGTAATCAATATTTAAGTGGTTCGAACAACCCACCCCTCATGGCCAAAAGGTCCAGAATTTGTCCTTTTAATTATTTGACGTCATTTTAAATATATACAGTATATATTATAATAAAGTGTTATTTTAAATAACTATGGCCAGTAATTCGAATCCTATTTAGCCTTAAAGCTACAATAATATGACGCGAGTCATGTCACATAACCCATCGAGCAGTAACGTTTAAATCTTTGATGTGACATCCTCATGCATATTGAGTAACGCTATGGGTCAAAACAAGAAAGACAGAAGAGAAAGCAGGCAGCAGCGTCCTTGTCACATAATATTTAACAAATGTTCAAAAAGACTGCCAAACAGGATAAGGCTAACGAAAGGGCCAGTCTGTGGCACAGGCAGTATAGGCAAATGCTAAAGTGCCATACATCCAATTTCTAAGAAAGCAGTTCAGACGCAACTTTTTGCATTCTTTTAAAAGAAGAGAACAAAAGGTATGATATATAGTTCTTCAATATAATATATGATTGCTGTAGCCGCCATACATAACCGCATTTCAGAACAGTTTAGGCAGCTTGAAACAAGTGTAACTTAAGCTGTTCAACGTTAACTTTAAAACACAGTTAACATTTTACATTGATAAACATTTACTTTAGCGATCCAGGTTTTGCCGTTAATATCTAAGTTACAGCAGATTCTAGGTTCCCTGTTTCAAAAATGAACTGTTATTTTTATCCCTAAAATCAGAACGCAAATGGTGTGATGCATTTCTAGAATCATTGTTGTCCAAATGTTGCTCCGTTTTCTTGAAAATACTTCCAAACAGCTCAGCTGCTGTACATCTGAACCTATCTGAACCTGCTGTACAATTGAACCTATCAATTTACAAGATTCAAATGCCCTGTCCTGTTTTTCTAGGCTTTATTGGTGATAATGGTTAGGAATGTTGGACCATTATCGCCTTTTTAGCATAAGAAGAGGAAAGAATATATATATATATATATATGCTTTTATTCAAGTCATAATAAAAAATATATTTGTAGAGCAACCTATGTTCTCTTGTCATTCATATTTTAATAAACTTTATTAGGTAAAACTGTCTGAGATATGGTTAAAAGCAAGTGATGCATAAAAGTTTAATTTAAAACATCTTGAATGGTTATAAAAATCTTTATAATCATTAAAATAATTTATAAAAAATAATTCAAATAAATAGTTAAAAAATCTTGAATGATAATAATGATATGACTTAGTTCAAGAAACGTTCTACTTCTCTGTTTATCCGTCTGACTGTACTGTGGGTTCCTTTGACCCGAAGGCGTCAATTATAAAAGCCTTGTCCGTTTGAGGTGCGCGTGCACTCAGCGGAGGTGCGCGATGCTGCGCCAGGCAAAAGTATAAATCAGGTTTTAGATTGTTAAAGGTTGGTGCTTATTAAAAAAAAAAAAAAAGTTTTAATTTTTATTTATTTATTTTTTTTTAATAAAAAATGTATTTAGACTTTCGTTATCATTGTGTTTGTGTAAATACAGGACACCATCCCCCTTGAAATTTTTAACAATTCCATCACTGTTTACTTATTATTGTATTGTATCAACAAACATTAATTTGTGACTGCTATTTAATGTTTATTCATCAACACTAGTGATGTTCTTTCAATCTATGTGCATTTTAAGGTAAATAAGATAGTGCTTTTGTTATAACGCATAAATAGGCTGACCCAGAATCTGCGCGAGATTTTCAACAGATTTTTAGCCCATCATTAATTCTGTTTATTCACTTGAGTAAATGTGTGTAAATATATATTTATTCCATTTTTTAATTAATTTCAGTAATATTATTGACTAATGTAAAAATATTCATATGATTTATGAAAATTGCAGTTTGTACAGTAATATTTACTTTCTTTTACTAGATTTATTATATGACGAACTTGCTTTATTTACCAAATAAAGTGAATCTAATTGGATTTGCATTTTAAACATTAAATACAAGTTAAAAGGATATTATTTTTTATTTCACATATTAAGGTTTTAGTTATGATACTCCCAAAATAATTCTGCAGAAATCCGCAGACTTTTACCAAAATTCTCAGCAGAAATAGCAAAAAACATCAGCAAATTCCGTCTGGCCCTACACATAAGTTACATGTAATATTGTAAGGTAAGGGATTACATATTTTATATAACAATAACACATTATTTTTTAAGTATTATAAGAGATAATAAACACATAGCACATCCCTTTCAGTTTAATGGTGTTATAGCAGTCAAATACAGGACCTTTGGCTGTGACCTATAATTCCTCCACAAAAGCTTTGCTCATTTACAGTCTCCTTTAATTCTGGAGATTATACCCTCCTCAGCAAACTGAAGCCTTGTTTACACTTTCACATGACCCTCCGCAGACTCTGCATGCAGTTCACGACGCTTGAGAGGCTTGACATGTTCCACATTGAACAGCTCTGCACAACGACAGAAGCAGCAGGCAGAAAATATTAGCTGAACCGGCTAGAAACAGCTGTGAAGAGTGTTTAAAACAATTTTTATGATATCCTAGCCAGGAAAAAAGATTCATGTTCTTAAGCTTCCTTTTTTCATGGTAACTTTACTGTGAAGGAATTTTCATACATATACAATAGCCTGTTTATTATTACGGTGGCTTGAGAAAGCCAACATACTGTTATACTACATAAACTTAATATTCTTCTGTCTACTTCTTTTGAGACTAATTTCTATATGCATCTCCTCCTAGACTGTTCATACTACAACCACCAAACTAACACCAAACCTCCAAACTGGTCTGACTCGGGTTGCTATGTCTTTTCCAGCTGATCCGACTTACTGTTATTCCAAAAACTGGCTGGGAACATCCAGAAAAATCCCATTGACTTAACATTTTACCAAAATTTGTGACCTCATAACTTTGTGCCAGACTGTCATACAGACTTAATGTCCAGCTCATTGAACTCAGACTACCAATCTGCCAAGCACTCATGATCTTTTAACTTACTAGCCCCACCCTAGCAAACACTTACTGCACCTTACCAACTGTCCCATAAACTTCCATTGTAAAAAACTATCATTGACTTTACATTGGACATGCTAACAACATACCAAATCATGCTAACAATATACTAATCCATACTGGAAACATTCTAACAACATACTAACATTTTAGCAACATGCTAATTCATCCTACAAACATGTTAGCAGCATACTAATTCATACAAGAACCATGGTAATTAAGTTACCAACCCCTAGCAACACCTAAAAAGCCACTCAGAACACCTTAGCAACCGCCTAGCAACACCTTAGTAATCGCCTAGCAACCACTCAGAACACCCTAGCCACAACCTAGCAATGCCTTGGCAACCATTTAGAACACTCTAGCAACCGCCTAACAACATCTTAGCAACCACCTAGCAACCACTCAAATCACCCCAGCAACATCTTAGCAATCACTTATAACACCCTAGAAACCACCTAGCAAGAAGCATGCCAACCCTTTCTAGAAACTTACTAACATATGTGTAGTTATCTATCTATACCAGGGGTCAATCACATGAGTTGCCCGCGGGCCCTGAATCTAATATATTTTGTAGTTATTCTTTTTAAATCACACTTGCATTGATGTACCTGAAAATGACATTAAGTTATATAAAAAAACGGAAAAACAAATATTTCTATAAAATATAATTGTTTTTAAAAGTGATTTCAAATTATATCAGAGCTTGCGGGTCTCGGCAATGAGTGCAGTGCAGTAAAGGAATAGGAGTTCTTTTTTACTTCATTTGGCGAAGACAAAGCGGCACAATGTTGAGAAACATTTCAGAATGTGTCAGGCAAGCTAATGTTACCATGCTAAGTACCCACCGGGCAGCGCACTACAAGTGGAAAAAGTCCGCAAACTAAAGGAAGGTTTGTGGAAACTGCAGGCTTTTTTCACGAGCTAAACATTTTTATTAGAAAAATGAGGCATTTTCAGACAGGACAGCAAAACTGTGCTTAAAGACTAGAATATTAGATTAGAATATAATCTGCCCTCCAGAGTACATTTAAGTGCATGATTTGTTAAAAATTGTTTGTGGCAAGTGAAAATATTGTAGAAGTAATAATTTGAAAATCTAAATACTAGTAGAGATGTATAGAAATAAAGTGTGGCATACTGATATTTATCTGTTACCTACCCTGTTTCTCACAATTGTTTACTACTATTGTGAGAAAGCATTAACATGATCAGTGTCTTCACATAGAGGAATTTCATTAATTATTAATAATAACATACAATTAAAAGTACATTAAGCAATTTTTTTTGTTGAGAAGTGTGTATCAAACTAGTAGCCCTTTACATTAATCGCTATAATATTTGTTTATTTAAAATAATTGTGTTTTAATATTTAGATAAAAATAATCAGAAATTTAAAATAAGTATTGCACTATTATTTAGTGCACAAAATCACATTATTTCTCTTTACACACACTCATACTGAAACAGTTAACGTATCCTACTACTTTTACCACATGTACACTCTGCTCAAACAGACATATAAAGTATATACAAGGTTTGAGAGTATGCATGACTGTGTAGCATATGGAAATCTGTACGTAAATGTGAATATCCACACAATACCTCTGACAGTAAGTTGCGTGAGAGCTCGTCCCATGCCGGCAGTGCTCCTGGCCACACATTCATAAGCTCCCTCATCATCGCCTGAAGCATAAGGAATTTCCCATGATGCTTTACCTGAAGCCCTTCAATTACAAACAAATTAGCAGGTTTAAGTGATGAGTCTTAAAGTGCAGCCTTTGATCACAAGCATGCATTTAGCTTTACACAGTACCACTTGCAAGAGTGAGGTCAAGAATGGAAAGAATTACGCACAAAATATAGTGTTACAGATTACAAACGATATGAACATAACAGATGGCGGCAGGTGAAAGGAAGAAAAGGAAAAAAGATAGCCTGATGTCACTAACAGCTAGCTTGCACAGAATACCTTTCACTTTAAGTCAATGTTATTTCATGTTCAAAACGTAACTCAAAACAGAGAGCCTTCAGTCTTTCATTTTTCAAGATGACTTTCTTTTGTGCAGTTCAACCACTGCTGTTCATATCCATTCCAGTATTGATATGTCAGCGAAAGCTCACAAATCCGTCTGAGGTTCGGTTTGTATTTCGACTGTGAATGAATGCTCAGTGTCAGCATGCTGTATCAAACGGAGCAGAAAATCATCTAGCAGATGTTCACTTTAACATCTGCTCCATTATGTTTACCTAAGGTTATATCACTGGAGAGAATACCTGCAAAAGTGTTTGTATGTGTTTAGGTTTGTTGAGAAAGAGAGAGAGATGAAGCTGATATGAAAGAGAGAGTACAAGGAGAGGGGAAACATCTTAGAATGATAGGATTAGCGTAAATGTGTGCCAGATTCAATTATAGGGCGTACAATTAACCTCCTAGGGCTTAATGTCCACATACTAGGACAGCACCTTTTAGCCCTTAAGTGGCTATTTACAATACTTTGAATTTTTTATATTTTGTTACAGACATACAGTACAGTGTCATCCTGCAACTGTTTTGCAGCTTATGAAATGTTCCAACTACTATTTTTAGCTGTCCAAAATGGGGAAATAATGTTGTTTTTTCTCTCTGATAGTCAAAAACAATTATATGTTATAAATGCATTAAAACAGTCAGGAAAAAGTGTTTTAGATATATTCTTTCTCTAAAAGTACATAATATCAAAACATGATGCTTAGGTTTTATTCTAAGGGTAAAATTAGCCCAAATAGCAAAGAAAAATAAAAAATGCGTGTATAAAAACATCTTGGGCCTTAAGAGGTTAGGCTGTTTAACAACAGGCATTTCTCTTTTAGGAATTTAGGAGATACAATTGGTCATCATCTTATGTTTTACAATATGCATTCATTAAAATGCATATTGGTTAATGCCAAATTCTATATATCTGTAGGGATATTTCAATTATGGTAGGGCTGTTCATTTATGGAAAAAAACAAATCATAATCATAATTATTTTAGTCAAAGCTGTAATCACGATTATTTAAAATGATTATGACTGGGTCATGTGGCCAACCTTTTTTGATTGATTATTTAAAGATCAAACTACAAACCTATCAATAATACACTGACCTCTGTAAATAAGGTTGTTATCATGGCATTTAGAGACAATTTAGAGATCATGCAATTTCAGAGTTCTTAAAGTCCTTAAAATATTTGAAAAGAATAAAAATAACAACATAATAAAGCAGGAACGTGCACACATAGGGCTCAACCTGTGCAGTGCATATGCCCTTTTTAGTCTTGGATAGAAAGTGCCCTTCCAAAATGAGCTAAAGTGCCCTAGCGACCAGCGACCATTTATCATGCATTTGACCATTTAGGCACACGCTAAACAATACAAGACAATACTTTACATGTATTCTATAAATCAAGCACAAGTCCCATGCTACAAAAGTTACATGATTTTACTGATTTCCATGTAACTTTGGTCTTTTTAGAGGAACAATTGTGGATTGCTTAGAAAACGTCAGAATATGATGCAATTATAATTTTGATTATTGTTTTTCATAATAGCTAAAAGGCCACATTTGAAATCTAAATAAAATTTCAATCAATTTCATAACAGTTATTTTGAGTATTAATAGAGACTGATGTGAAGAACTGATGAACTGATGTGCTTAAAACATGATATTTTTCATGCTAATATTTTGATTCGCATTAATGTCTAATGTCTAACACAAGGATTTTGTGCCTCTAATGAATCCAAAAAAAAAACTAACAGGACATCTTATTGTACTGAATTAAAGTGCAAGGTAAAACATAAATAGAGTGGAGAAAGAGGACTTGAGTAGATGTGAGTAGAGGCTCACTCATAGGTTCTTTCCTCTCCCAATGTGTCTCCACCTCTGATGAATCTCAGTTTATAGGGCAGGTCACTCTCCACAGAGCAGTCAATTACAGCAGGCTGCATGTAGAAGCCCCTCACCACTGTGGGCATCACCACCACTGGAGGCTCTGGAGGGTCATAAAAAGGGTAAACTGGTTCATCACAGTTGGATTACAACACAATACACACAAAAGAGTATTTTTTAGCACAGTCATCATGACAACAAAGCTTTCAATCATCACATTAAAGAGTATGATGTCCTTTTAAACTAAGTTTAGTGAATTTTGAAAAGAAATGAATATCCATACAGTGTTGTGAATACACCTTTAAAGCATTCTCCTCTGACCTCTGGGATCAACACGACATTTGCACCCACAGAACTGCCGCTCACTAAATATTTTCTGTTTTTTAGACCATTCTCTGTAAACCCAAGACAAGGCTGTACGTGAAAATCCCAGTAGATCAGCAATTTCTGAAGCACTCTGACCAGCTCGTCTAAAACCAACAACCATGCCACATTCAAAGTCACTTAAATCCTCTTTCTTTCCCATTCTAATGCTCGGTTTGAACTGCAGCAAATCATATTAACCATGTCTACATTCCTTATTGCATTGACTTGCTGCCATGTAATTGGATAATTAGAAATGTGCATTAACAAGCAGCTGAACACCTAATAAAGTGGCCGGTGAGAGTATAAATATTTATATTTAAACCGTTCAAACTGTTAAAAGGTCGCATTTGAATTCCAAAACAGCAATTGAAAAATAATTTAACCAAAGTAAATATAAAACTAAACAAATAAATAAGCAAAACAGCACAAAGCAAAACAAACAAAAAAAAATATTACACAGTGTTAAAATAGTTTAGAGTGTAACAAAACTAAATAAAACCAAAAAAAAAAGAACTAAAAAATATAAGCAAATAATAAAACAAAAATATATAGAGAGAGTCCAAAGCAAATTTTTAAACTTCAAATGCAAATTAAAGACATAAATAAATAAACAAAACTAAAATAAAACAGGGAAATTAAAAGGCTTTTATACAGTGCTCAATTAATTCAAATGGGTTTTAAATGACACCACATCAAAGTATTTAAAGAGTATTCAAAGTCTTCAACATGTAAACGGAGTCAAGTGGACTAATAAAAATGTTAATAAAGAGTTAAAACTCACCTGGGATGATGTTAGTATATGACACACTTGACAGTCTCTGAAAGTTGTATCCGTCGCCATCATTTCCAGACACTCTGAGGAAAAAGCTCTGAGAAGGTGTTCGAAACTCTGGGATGCTCCAGATTCCTCCAGAGCCTCCATCGCCAGGCAGAGGCACAGGGATGGTGCGCAGCGAGCGGCCGCCGAGAGACACTAACTCCATATTGGTAACCAGACCAGGAGGCTTCAGACCTGAACACTTCAGCATCACATGTGCAGGAACACCTGGAGGAAAACGGGATGTGTTAAATCAATAATTCTTAGGAAGCCTAAGTGCTGGACAATCATGATAAATGCAGTCGAAGGACTTAAATTCTGGCACAAAACTAAGTAAATAAATGTGGCAGGAGCAATTTTTAAAAAAAATGTTTTTTTTTATTATTATTATTTAAAATTAAATACATATTCAACCCTGAATACCACTAATCCTGCACCCATCAGTGGAAAAATAGTTAAGTAACCATATAAATAAAAAAAATGCTATCAGGAATTTCATAATTTTATTTTGGCTACTAAAAACATATTTGTAATATTATCATTAAGACATACATTTCTCTTACGCTTACCGTCAGCATATTTGGAGACATCTTTTTAAGCATTTTTATTCTAGAAATTTTCACTAACGATGCACCAAGTTAACGTGCAAAACCATTCCTTGATGTTAGATGGAGCTTAATGAAAATCAGAAATACCCAGGTACACAAGATGGCGTTATGCAACATTACACTTCTGACACATGTTTGTACAGAATAAGAGGTTACCCTCACACCTTTTCCACTTGTATTTATCACGTAAGCTCTTCCTCCACCACTACATCACACAAACACCTGGGGCCTCATGTATCAACGCTGCGTACGCACAAAAACTTTGCGTACGCCAGGTTTCACGCTCAGAATCGCTCACGTTTGGATTTACTAACGATAAACTGAACGTGGGAATGTGCACAGCTCCACGGCAGATTTATGGCTGGCGTACGCACATTTTTTGTGCGTGTCTGTTTTATTTCCATTGGCGACTCCTAGATGCAGTTGTTAAATTGCACTCTATAAAGTGTCTTTGAGCCTTGCAATGGCAGCTGTATGAGACGGGTTCATCTAGCAGGTATATAAGGTTTCCATACCATACAGTTGACCAGCTAAACATTAAAGCGCAATTTGCAGCGGTCGCCTGTTTTCCCAATGTAATCTGAGCTATCTACCGCACGCACATTGCTATAAAGACACTATCTGAAGATGAATTTGCATGCGTGAATCAGAAACAATTCCATTCAATAGATGTGCAAATAAAATATGATGCACAAACTTATTGATTCCTACTTGTCTTTCTCGTGATAAATAGTTGGCAAAATCTGATATGTAGCGGGGGAAAAAAGAAGAAAGAGTTCATCAGATGCTGGATTCGAACCGAGTTCATGCTCGAACGTGTCAAAACATGTTGACATGCGTCTTATGAGCTGCGCCACTGAGACTGTTACAAGTATTGCAGCATTTTACACCTATAAACCACTCTATGTTTTTCTTTTGTTGGTAATTCCGGAGAACAAACTTACAAATAACACCGCTTTTCTCCATTCTACCTCCGAAAGGAGCACCTCCAATTCACATTCTGTTCAAAGTTTCTCTTTTTGCTTGATTTTGCCATTGCTTTTTCGTTGAGTTTTGCCAAAGTATATCATTAGCATATTCATACGGGGGAGGAGGCAGGGAGGGGTTTTGTGCTCGTGCATGTTACGCTTAGTTTCACGTTCATTCAGATGTACAAAAGAATATGCGTGAGATTCGGTGTATGCAGTGTTTCATACATCTGAATTTTTTTCTGCGTACGCACATTTACAGCTTTGTGCGTACGCAAAGTTTTAGTATGATTTCCACGCAAGTCTTCGTACATGAGGCCCCTGGTCTGAGGTTTGCTCGAAAAAGTTACAAGCCATGAAAAAAAATTCAGGTTAAATGAAACTTATCACTGGAGCCTATTTGATCTGCGATTTCTGTGTACTCGTCTAAACCTTTTTGTGCTTGAGCACTAACAAGTTGTGTTTACCTTTAGCAACATATGAACAAAAGCATCAATCTCATTGGTTGACCCATTTTTAACACACACTTTGCATCAAATAAAAAGGCCTGGGGCATTTTATAATGGCGATTTTACATTTGCTGTTTTGCACATTGTTGTATGTGATCACACAGGTATGGTTGCAAGGTGTTTAAAGTTGGGTGCAATGCATATCACAGTAACGCGTTACTGTATTCTAATTACTAGATTGGGGAACGAAGTAATGTAATGAATTGCATTTTAATTTTGTGCAATTTGATTACAGTTATTAAAGTCAATGTAATTGCGTTACTTACATTACAAATATAGTTTTTAGAACAAAAAAATGCTTCTTTTAAATCACGATATCCACTGAAATTTCAGTTATTAAGCATACTCTTAAATTGCTGGAGAACGCAAGCTCACGAGAGTGTTTGCTTCTTCAAGTGGAAATACAGACATTAGGCTACTTTGATTTTATTGAGCGTAAACTAAAATATTTCTGTGAAATTTAGTCTATGTCCAGTCTCTAAAGAACTTTTAACTGCTTTTAACTCGACCAGCAACTTGTTCAAGCACTTGAACAGAAAGCAGTCTACAACAATACTTGTTGCCAAGAAGGATACTGGCACCCAAAAACACAGCCGCCCAACTCAGTCTAAACAGGCTTTTGGATTTTTGTGCACAATTGAGAGTGAAGGTATCTTCTGAACATGAAGAGAAGCATAGCTGCTTTTGAGGTCGTTCACATACTGTATCACGTCTTTTGCACATGCAAGTTTGATATTTGCAATGGAGGCGCACGGCAGGCACACCCAGTTGAAAACCAGGAGTCACATGACAAGAACTGACCAGCTTCATACTTTGTATAAAATATATACATTTCGGTAGACTAATTCATTCAGACAAACGCAGAACAACCACACACTGCAGTGCCTTTTCATACTATGGATGTCAATCGTTACAGGTATTTACAGCTTTTGTATTATTACAGGTTTTATACAGTGTTTTAAAAGTAACTTCAAAGTAAAGTATATAGTAATTTGATTACTTTTTCATATTTTCATTCATTTTCCTTCAGCATTTCAGAGGTCGCCTCAGCGGAATGAACCACTAACTACTCCAGCATATGTTTTACACAGTGCATACCCTTCCAAGCGCAACCCAGGACTGGAAAACACCCATACACTCTCATTCACACACACATACACTCAAACACTATGGAGGCGAAAGTGCTAAACACTGAGCCACCATGCCACCCCTGACTACTTTTTACATGAAGTAATTAGTAATGTAATCAAATTACACATTTCCAGAGGTAGTCTGTAATTTGTAATCTTTTATTTTTTTAAAGTAACTTGGAGGTGTTAAATGTCAAAAATAAGCACATGCAAAAACTGTCCCATTGTGCACATTCCTTAATTCTTGCACCTGTTGTGCTGATGTAGTAATACCTTTAATAGGTCTCTCTCTGGTCCTGGTGAACTCAGATACAGGTATACTAGAGAAACCAGCCCTGAAGTCTAGGTTGCTCACACCAGTTACTCTAAGTGTGTGTCTCCCACTGCAGCCCACCTACACAAAAGAAAAACAACAATCAATGACATTTTTTAGGATCATCTGTAGTGTAAATACTAGACACAAATGTGATTTATTCAAAGAAACCTTTAATGTCCATGGTCCAGGTCGAGGGTTCTTCAGGTTGACCACCCGTGCTGAGTTTGGGATGTTGAGCAGTTCTCTTAGACCCTGCCTCTCTCCAACTGTGCGGCCTATAATTATTCAGATTATCATATTCACATGTTAAGGTATGACGTATGGAACACTGATTTAAGGTCTGTACACCTCAGCACATTTTAATTGAGAAAAAGCAATCCAATCAAATCAAATAAAAGCAAATTATCATTAAAAGATTTGCTGTATTGTATAGACAACAATATTTTAATAATTTATAAAAGATGAATCACTGCCTGATCATATGAGATTAGAAAATGGATATAAACATTACAATCATGAAAATTCAATAGTATGACAACACACTAAGATGCCATGTTAGGTTTATGTTAGCCTTTTAGACTTTTTATACATAAAAAGCAGATTGTAAGGACTTTTGAATTACAAAGCATAGAATTCATGAATAACTGTTCAGTATAAAACAACATTTTGTTACCAAGAGGGTCTCTGAGTTCAATTTGTGGTGCTGGACCACTCAGCGACACGGTGACTTCTTTTAAACTGGGGTCAAAGGGCACCTCCCACTGGGACTCCTGGGCAGTTTCATGGTCAGATGAGAGAAGATGTACCTTCATGGTCTGGATTGTTTCCTCCACCCACTTAAGAACCTAAACTCAATAAACAATCACCAAACTTGTTTCATCATGTTTTTATGGTTCATTCAAAATCATCTTGACTAAGTTTGAACTTTGAACATTTCAAATACTTCATTAATCATTTTACTTTTTTGTTTGATGTAGTTTGAATTGACCAGTTTGAACTCCTAGTATTTTTTATTTACAGTAGTTTCATTTTAAATGTTGGATTTAAAATCCACAGTTTTAACTGGTCAGTTTAAACACTATATCAATACTTTTTTTCTTTCTTTGTGTTCAATTTAGTTACGTTTTACTTTGGACATCACATTTGTTTGTCAAATCACAAGTGCTTTGTTCATTTTTATTTGATGTTTGACATAATGTCAACTCAAACAGAAAGACAGGGTGAGACACCGTCTTAGCTCCTTCCAATGGGTTCTATGCACAGTTATGCCAATGACAAACTTCCGATGGAAGCTTAATTTGACAAAATTTCAATTTCACCAGGTTGTTTTTACAGCATCAATAATGTAATGTAATTAGAGTACATTCGATTAAATGGACTTAGTAATTCATTTAGTTGTTCAAGTGTAAAATGAGATGAAAGACCATTGTAACCAAAAGCGCTGTCAGTAGCAACAGGCTAGTGCAGAAATTCCATTAAAAATACTGGGGTAAAATAAAGTGACAAGAAATATTTTATTCATTCATTCATTTTCTTGTCAGCTTAGTCCCTTTATTAATCTGGGGTTGCCACAGCAGAATGAACCGCCAACCAGCAAGTTTTTACACAGCAGATGCCCTTCCGGCCGTAACCCATCTCTGGGAAACATCCACACACTCATACATTACGGACAATTAAGTCTAACCAATTCACCTGTACCACATGTCTTTGGACAGTGGGGGAAACCGGAATACCCAGAGGAAACCCACGTAAACGCAGTGAGAACATGCAAACTCCACACAGAAATGCCAACTGAGCCGAGGATTGAACCAGCAATCTTCTTGCTGTGAGGCGAACGTGATACCCACTGCGCCACTGCATCGCCACAAGAAATATTTAACAGACTAAATAGACATGGCAGGGGAAAATGGGATTGAATGCAGTGATTCTCGTCTGATCTGAAACCCACTTTATATTGTATATCTAACAGGCAGTGAAGATCGCTGATTTTTAAAGAAATTTTGTAAAAGAAAGACAGTTCATAGGATGCCCTTGGGCTGCCTAGCTGAAATCTAAAATTGTGTGTGCATATAGCTCATTTAAAAAAAACAGCCAATAGAGTTTTTTAACCAATAGAGGTTCAGGAGGAGTCTGATCAGTCGACTTTTGTTCCAGCATCCCTCCACCTCCTCATCTCCTCCTCTGTTTAAACAAAATAGCAGCAGACACCAACACCAAAATCATTTACCATGTTGATGCAGTAGATTAAGCAGGTGAACTTGTGAATGTTCTGTTAACAGCACAACTCTGCCAGTCACGACTGTGTAACTCAAGCGCCTCAGACTTCTTACATCCAGAGTCTATGTTAGCAATACTGAGTCTGACTTGTCATTTCTGATGTGTAATTTAAATGGCTCTGATATTCTGTGGTCTGTGTGGACTCATGAATATGATCCACTCTGTGCAGTGTCTCGCTGGACTGAAGCAGACTGTATATTTGCATGCTGTGGTGGTTCACATGACATTAACATGAAAATCAGACTTCCTTCATCCCAAAGAAAATCATATTTACACTGTCTAGTACAGTCTTAGTGCTATTTTCCAAGTAAAAATGGACAATGTCTGTAACAGATTTAATTTTGACACTCCTAGTTCCCTGTATGCTGACCTTGTATGTGCGTGTGCACTTCATTTTGTGCTTTTTTTTTATTTATTTAGTTTTTGTTAGTTGCATTTAAAGCCCACTTGACATGATTTAACATAAGAAACATTATTTGAGGAAAGGCACATACACTGCAGAAGAACTTTCTCCTAAATATATTTATATACTGCAGGTTTGTAACAACATGAGCACACAACAGCAGAATCTTCATTTTCACCATTTCACATATATTGCATGATCCAGTCTATAAACTAAAGACTCAAGAGGACATGTCTGGTAAAGCTCAGACTAACTCAAGACAGGGTAGCATCCCGGTGACATCATCTCTGTTCCTGCGGACTGTTCATTGTCTCACAGGCAGATCCTTATTAAACAGTGAGGAAATGAGATCAGATCATCTGTCAAAGAGAGAATGTGAACTATTCCTGCACTGACAAGCTATTCATCTCTCAAAGAGCAGCACTAACAGTAAAGGCCTGCTGTTTACCTCACACGAACATGAAGATGATCCCAGTAGTCATCCACATGGAAAAAAAAAACATGTAATGCATTAGTTGTTCTCAAACCATTCCAGCGGAGACACACAGCACTACATTCACACATGGATGATTTATAAGAACGGTTAATGCCATATTCAAAAATAAACATTTTAATATTAACTTGTCACCTTCATGCTCTTCTCAACCTTTTTGACTTTCTTTCACAAAATGAAAAAAAGCAGTCTCAGTGAGGTGAAATGACGTTCTTTTTTCTTGATTGTCTATTTGTGCGTGTCTAAAAGAAAATAACAACTTTTCACACATTTGCTCAAGTCTTGCTTCCAAAGTCAATTGATCTCTTTGATCAGCCACATTAGTTTTCACGCACCTGTTTTATGGTCATTTTGAAATATCACATCAAAATGTTTAATGGTCATGCAGAGATGGGCAATTTTTTTTTGATAATGTGCAAAGCACTTCGAGTGTGAGTTAAATGATAACATTACTTTTCTAAGTAACGAGTAAATGCATTACTTTAAAAATTAAGTGATAATATTTGAGTTACTTTTTAAAAAATGTAACAAGTTTTGTTTAATCAGCTTTTAAAAATTTAATTGCTGAATTAAAATTGAGATGTAAGTATGTGCTCATTATTTTAAATACATGGAGAAAAAGGAATTTTACTTGAAAATGGTTTGTACTTCACTAATAAAACAAAAAGCACAATAGCAGCAAACACATTGCTTTAAATTTTTAATCTGTATATACTGTACGGTATGCAAAGCTTTGGGCTCTCTCTTCTTGTTTTTTAAGGTAAATACATAAAAAACCATGCAAGTTCTGAAAGAGATCAAGCCTCAGACGAGCCTCAAGCCTTCAGAAAAGTCAAGTTTATTTCTAAACTAATTTTGAGAAGATCACATGCTTATGATTGCTTGCAGCCAGTCTTGCATCATTCAATTAATGATTCACCAATCAGATGATTTGAATATAAGTTCAATATAACAGCCATCTTCGTTTTGAAGAATTCCCCCTTCCATCCATACTCCTCCTCCTTTCCTAGATGGGTGGCACGGTGGCCCAGGGGTTAGCACTGTTGCCTCACAGCAAGAACGTCACTGGTTCTAGTCCTTACCAAGCCAGCCGACGTTTCTGTGCAGAGTTCACACGTTCTCCCTGTGCTCAAGTGGGTTTCCCCCGGGTTCCCAGGTTTCTTCCCACCGTCCAAAAACATGCAACTTAAGTTAATTGACTCATTCAAATCGGCACCATAGACATGCTCCTAGTAAGTAGTTATCTCTTTAGAGCAATCACTATGCTGCCGGTTTTCTGCTGGTAACAAAATTGAATGCACTTGGAATTTACTGTTCTGAACACTAAATAAATACTTTGTGTTCAACCTCTTGCAAAGTTGTTTTTTTAATTAATCTGTTAGATCATTCACGTATTCAGAATCTGACTCAAGTTCGATCTTGAAAATTTAAATATAAAACATAAACTCGACGTATATGAACCATATGCTACACTGTAAATAATCTGTTGCTGCCTGAAATTTTTTATGTTGATTCAAATTAACATTACAAGTATTTTCAGCATCATTTTAACTGCTTCAAAAAAGTTTTTAAAATGGTATAATTAAAAAAAAAAAAAAGTTAAAGCCTGATTAACTTGGCCATTTTCCTTTATTTACTAATAATTCTTTCACCTAAGGATACATGACTGCTGTAATACTATTATAGTACACAAAAGAAGACATGAAGTCATACAGATTGGGATTAAATAATGATGATCAGTTCTGTGTACTAATTTTTACCTCATTTATTTTGACCTACTACATGGGTCATATGCACAAAACAGCAGACATGTACAATATATATAATGTTGAGACAGTAATATGAATTTAAGTTCATTATCAAACCAAACAGCTGACTGAATGCACTGCAGTGGCCCTAAATAACTCAATTACATTTAATATCCACTATTAACGTCTATAAGTTGATAATTTGCCATTAGAATTTTATTAAATGCGCATCAATTATACCTCATCATGGAAAATTTGATCGGCAACAAAGGAAATGGAAATGAGAGTGTTTTTACGGCAGCTTATTAGCACAAGGAGAGCAACAACTAACGAAAAACTGTTTCCTCACTTTTTGTATTTTTAGATGTCAGCCATTAACTCCTTTAGCGGCAGCTGTGTGTATTTATTCTGACCTTTTTATATGGAGTACAGACATAATGGCTGCTCTGTGTCCATAACACTGAGCGAAAACATTGCTTCAGTAAACCCGCGAGAATGACGCTTATTTAACACATCTTTATGCATTTAGGAATGAGAGAGAAAATTGGAGCGAGCGTAGTCTTTGATAATTTCATTACTCAGATTCTCCCCTATTTCTTTCACTGTAGATCTCTCTCTCTCTCTGCAGACGGCAGCTGGTTCCTTTCGGAGTTTACAACTGGAAACAGCTGTAATGAGTGCCACATGTGCAGCTATCCCCCACAGAGCAGCAAAAAGTCCAGCAATAACCTACATCTGCCTAAAACTAGTGTCTGTTTCAGTGGACGCCCCATGGGAGACAAGAAGATTAGCCTTGTGATAGATAATCGACAAAAAGGCCACTGCTGAGCGATATATAGTCAACTATATTCAGCCTGTGTGGGTCTCAAATGTTGGAAAGGCACCCCAAAAGGGAACATCAAAGTCAAAATACTCTTGAAAGCA